CTCCTGATGAGATCGTCTGCATAAAAGCCTGAGTTTCACCTTCAGTAGACTCATTAACTTCTTGAGGTGAAACTTCGGTCTGTTGAGTGTTTGGATTTCCATTTTTTCGTTCTTTGATTTTTTTTTTAAAAGAAAGGAAGACATGACCTACAACCTAACATTTTAATACCAAAATGATGCAATCAAAAATTCACAAACAAATTAAAGATTGCAAAACAACTAAACAACTTCCTTAAAAACATAAACATAACAAACTTACAACCATATAACATATATTAATTTAGAGAAGAAGGATAAAAGTGAGGCGGTAACCGTGGATATAAAAGAAGGGATTATAAGTCCTCAAGACAAAGTTTTATAAGAGAGGAGGTAGAAGAGGATAGCTCGCAAGCTACACGAAACCCACAGGTTTCACTTTCCAAAAATTCATCACATTTCCACTCCTAAAACAGCAAGAAACATCTCATTTAAATGGGGGAAAGGAGCTCAAAAGACACTCAAAGCAGCCGCCCGATTCAGCCAACCAGAACAGAAGAAAAATCCAAGAGAAAAGGCACGGCAGAACCACAAACCGAGCAGCCAGTCCCCCTCAAAAGATCAACCATAATCGAAACAACCAGAAGCCGAACATACATCAAGAAAGGAGCACGGTAGCTCAGGAACCAAGTAGCAAATTGCTCAAAAAATAGCCCCCAATCAGCCACAACTCTCCAAACCCCAAAGAGTCAAAGAAACATGGGCCAAGGCCATAAGAAGAAAACAAAAGCCCACCAATAAATGCCCAATAAGAGGAAAAATTGAAATGTTGCCTACATCACAAATCTAGAGCCCAAAACCTAAAACTAAGAGATTCCAAGATCAGCCAAATTTCAAATCCCCTAACCCTAGGAAAACAAACTATTTAATGAATACAATTCAAAAAGAAATCTCTAAATAGTCCCTACATTAAATTTCCCTCCTAAACTTTCTCAAAAATCCTTCCTAAATCAGCCCCATGGAGGTTTGCGGTCCGCTCGGTCTTCACGGGAGAGGCAAAACCTCCGCCTCTATTCGCCTAGGAAGGTCTCGTGAGGACTGGCTAGACCAGTCCAATGGACTGGTCTAACAAACTAATAATGAAACACTGAAATAAAATGCATTTGTGATTCCCTGTAATTCTTTCAAACCAAATAAACCCTAAGAGAAATATCTTCGAAATTGTATAAACCCATATGATTTTTGAACTGCTGCGAGAAACCTCCGAAGTATACCTTCTATGCACTGAGGCGGATTCATCGATTTTGAAATGGGAAAATTTTGAATAAGAATGTCTCGATTGAATTTTGACAAAGATGGATCACAATATCATTGAATTTATTTTGAGATGAGTAAAAGATAAATGTTGATTGATTATTCATATATTACATTCATCTAAAATCAAATCTAATAGCTCGGATATCCATCCTAACTAAAATTTGATCAATATATTGTGATTTATTTTTTTTTTCTAATTGTAATTGTACCTACTACTAAATCATTGTAATCAGGAAGACTTGAAATACTCCCCTAGTATGACCTCTTGTAACTTTGAAATATGACATAGATCCACGTAATCATCTTCAAATATCCTCCTCAACTTGTATCCATCATGCAAAAAATATCATCAAATGGTGCAAATGTTAATGACAAGATCACAAAGAAAGTTTATCAACTTGCATTCTTATTCTGATTAATTGCCTCAATATTTTAATTTAAAAGTAAGGTGGCTTGCATAAGACTTGGTTAACCCCTCATTTAAATGCAAATTGGAAAGACCACTCCCCAATTCAAGGCTTAGTTCCACGATTCTCTTCATAATCCAAACAGGCAGGCCAACTCCACTTAAATTTTCAGGAATGTTTTTATTATTTTTCTATTTTAAAAGACATTTAATTTTGAATTATACTTTTAAGTGATAAGTTCATATAAAATTTTTTATTCATAGATTATTATCATATTGGAAAAAAAATTGGCGTTTTGTCTCTTTCATGGACAACATGGTTACAATTCTTTGGTGGAATTTCTTAGCTGATGAGTTCTAGCCATATTCATTGGCTTAAAATTCTAATCATACACATGAATTGCTCTCTCTCTCTCTCTCTCTCTCTCTCTCTCTCTCATCCAAATCCCAAACCTTTCCTTTCGGTTGTGTCTTTCTCCTCCACACCAAACCTTAAGCCCCAACTATGCGCCTCAAAGTTACCCCTTACTCCCGCCTAACAATCTAACCAAGCCATCAATTGGCGTCTCCCATAATCCACAAAATTCAAACCCTAGCATATCCCATTCAACTACCTTATCTTTCCCATGAAACAAAAAATAAATAAAATATTTCTCATGAAACATTAAACCATAGCCAACCATTAACACTGCACAAATATTCTGAACTCGACCAGAATACCACAACACCTTAACACCTCCAATTCTCGTACCACCATCAACCCTCCTTTGCTTTGAAACTTTATATGCAACAAAGAAGCTAACATTTTTAGCTACAATACTGCAACAAATGTCGATAAAATTAACTCCCTTTACTTTTAGCATCTCCTAAGCATTTGAATCCTTCTTCATTAAGAACATTTCATATCAAATTCTTCTTTAGATCTAGTATGCACCTAACTCTTGGCAATGCTTTATTCATAACATCATGCATATTTAATTTCATCATGCCACTGCTCAAGAGGGAGTTGAAGGAAAACTTGAATTATGGAGGTCAACTTGAGTCTAAAGGTTTTCATTTGAGTAAATCTAAAACCGGATACATTGAGTATAATTTTAGTAGTAATAGATCTAGTGGGAGGATTGTGACTTTGGATGATCAAGTCATTAATAAGAGTACATGTTTTAGATATCTCAGTCTATTGTTCAAAGTGATGGTAAAATAGATGTGGATATTATTAGTAGAAGTCAAGCTGGATGGTTGAAATGGAGGAATGCATCAGGCCTCATGTGTGCCAGAAAAGTAACCTCAAACTTAAGCGAAAATGCCATAAAACAGTGGTGAGACCTGTAATGCTTTATGATGCAGAATGTTGGACATTAAAAGAGAAGCATAAAATTAAGTGTTGCAAAGCTGAGGATGCTCTGGTGGAAGAGTGACTTCACTCTTAGAGACAGAATGCGAGCCGAGTATATACGTTAAAAGGTCGGAGTAGCTCCACTGGTAAATAAGATTAGAGAGAGTCGTCTTAGGTGGTTTGGACACATAAAACATCGGTCTTCCAATGACCCGATTATGAGAGAAAATGTATTAGATTTGGCCTATATTAAAAATGATAGAGATAGACCTAAAAAGACATGGTTAGAAAATATTAGAAATGACTTTTTTTTATTAAATTTAAATGAGAATTTGACTCTTAACATAACACAATAGGGAAAAAGGATTCATGCATCCAACTTCACGTAGTGGGATAAAGGCTTAATGTTGTTGTTGTTATGTCAACACTAATTATCTTGAATGCCACATCATTCTCATATAAATATAACCACCAGCACATTACTTATGATGGAATGCATGGTAAAAAAAATCCAAAATCTATGAAGCAGTGCATCTATCTCTAATAGTTACCACGAGAGCTTCATCTAAATATGCACTTAGCCAAATGCAATACCATTAGAAATCACTAACGTATCCTCCTTGAGCATGTTATTGACATGCTGCTTTCTCTTCAAATCTTGACAAACTCATTTTATGTATGATTTCTTTTAGCAATATTAGCAAATTGCACCCATATACCAAACATAAGATTTACTCTTTGCCATGGTTGGGTAGATTCCTTCTCAAAATATCCCTTTTAAGTAATAATCCTTCAGTATGTTTTTCATCTCCTACAATTTTAAGCTTAAAAAATAGAAGTTTAGAAAAAAAAAATGAATCATTAACATCTAACTCTATTATACACTATGATGTCATGAAAATAGCACAAAAATAATAAAACTTAAACCTCACTATTATCAATATTTCTAAGGTCCCTATCATTATAATTAAACTCATTAAGATGAAGTTCCATGTTTAGAAATTTTCTCCTTGCCAGTTTTCAACCATAAATTAAGGAGAAAAAAAAAACAATAAAATTGAGGGAAAAGTGAGTTCTGTTTTATATTCACAAAATTTAAGCTGATTCAAAAAAGCGAGTTCTGTTTTGTTAGCAACTTTGTTGGCTTTTCATCACAACTTTACAAAATACATGGTTATGACACGTTAACTTCCTTGAAATATTTGTCTTTACATAGTAGAATAAACTACCAAATATTGGTCCAGAGTTTGAGATCCTTTGTCTGTAGGCTTTGGAGTTGAAAAGTGCTGTAATAGAAGTCAACAATCCTATAAAAGGTGGGTTGTTCTAAAAAATTTCCGAAAAAGAGAAAAAAAAAAAGGACACAAAACCTCAAAAACAATTTCTTTACAAAACATTTATACGAGCTCCTCACCATGAATTCACAAATAACCAGATCTAAAGAAGTACTCCACTCTACCACAACCACAACTCCTACCCCTACCCCTCTCCAATTTAACAGGAAGAGCTGTTGTAAAGTTTAAATTATCGATATATTCCTTTTCCAACAAGGAACAGACAGTATCTCTTTACCTTTAAAACAATGTTTTTACTCAGCTCAAGCCATGTTTTCCTCATAAATCATGGTTTTACTAATCAAATTTAGACGCTCCGCATTCGTTAATTGCATTTTCAGGATAGCAGTGAAGGATCTCTACATTATAAACATTTTCTAACTTTCAAAACAAATGGATACATGCATTTTCTTATGACTGCTGTCTAATGCATTGCATAGGCTTGCACTTAATTTCTTATTCAATTAACCCGAAGCTACAAATGAATTAGAGCAGACATCATAAATTTAACAAGCATGTACGCAAAAGCAACTTCATTGACATCCACATCAAAGGAAATCTTAAATACAAGAAATTAATATGTTGAAAGTAATGGCAATTCAACCAAATCATTTGAATCAAATAGGTGTACCTGAGCATCATACATTACAACAGAAGCAAAGACCACAGACATGCCAAAAATTGAATCTGAGAAACCCCTGCAGATTATAGTGACAATAAAAATGGTGGTCAATTAACTCAATCCATTAAACTACGGCTTCGTTTGGGATGGTTTTTTTATTGCTTCTTAAAGCATCTTTTAAATTTTATACTAAAAAACTGCTTTAAGAAGCACTAAGAAAGCCATCCTAAACGAAGCCTAAAGCATACACCATTTTCAACTTTTCAACGCAATAAAGCTGATGACAGATAGTTGAAATAAAGCTTTATATTTGCCCATTTGATCATTAAACACAATCAATTTACAAGCAAATAGATTAATATATTGTATACAAACATGAATTTCGACTGCAAAATCAAAATGAATCCAGAAAAGACACAGCACAAGGCAGGCAGACCTCTCTAAACCAATGCTTGTAGCAGCAGCAACTACAGCCTGGAAATTCAAATCCCATACAGCTAACCGTTACCAAATGGATTTCAAACGAATAATCATAAGTAATAAAACAACAAACAACGATGATTAAGATAAATGGGTGGAAGCAAGCTTAACAGCAGAATGGGTGGAAGGCATGCCGCCAGACCGAATAGCGGCTTTAAAATCGATTCCGTTTCCATTAATAGCAGAAGTAAATGGTTTTGAGATTTGACCGATGGCGCATGATAACGCAGATGCAACCAAAACCTAAAAACGCAAGTAGAACGCCGTGAGTAGAAAGAAATAAAATAACAAATCAATGAATAGAGCAGTACATCTCAAAGCTTTCGCCTTTCCTAGTAAAAAGATTTGAAGAAGTAACCTTGGTGTAAGTTTTACCTTATTATGTGCAAGTTCTGCAATTTCCTGCACTCCAATCTTGAAAGCAACAATTGGTGGTTTAGCTTCTCTGGTTGGGCAGAGTAAAAGTTTCATCTTGGAGGGAGGAGGAGACGAGAAGGTGCTCCGTTGATGAGATGGGGAGAATGTAGCTGCATAAGCACAGTGCATTTCTAAATCGAAATCAGGTCCTATAAATTATTTTTTTCAGAGTGAAAAGAGATTTTTTTTTCCCTTCTTGCGCACAAGTAGGAGCCTTATATCCGTCCAGAGGATCGCTGGGTTTCGGAAAGGCAAACAGGTATCCAAAATCATCCTATCTCTACCACCCGTTGTATCCAAAATTGAAAGTCCAAAATCGCCGATTTTTTATTCAGAATTCTGTCGAGTGGCACAGATTGAATCGGCATTAAATTCGAGCCAATAATTAGTTGATTAGGCCTTAGAGATGTGATTCAAGGGGCTTTGTAATTTATTTATATAAATAGTATAATATTTAAGATGAATTGTTTAACAGCAGTGCCTGAAGCTTTAGGTAGATTTGTATCAGAGTTACTATGTAATTAGAATTTAAATAGGAAAATTTTAAATTAAGTAAAATTGGTACTTATATTAAATGTTTAAGTGTGTTTTAAAAAAATTTTAAAACAAGTCAAAGTCACACATTTAAATTGCGACTTATACTGACTAGGTACAGCTGAGTTAGCTGGTCGTTACTGGAAGAGAAAATTAGATTTAGCATAAGTCATCAAAGTAATAAGTGGCTTATGTAAGTCGTCGGCTGAGTGGGCTACTTACTTCATGAATATTTAAAAAAAATGTAAGAAATCACAATTTTGTGGCAATGGATACTGAAGTAGTTGTGATAGGTATGATTGCATACATGTGACTTAAGCTGTAAAGATGTGTTGTTCCATCAGTTAGTCTTTTCAGCGTCATCTTTATTATTTTTGTCATTATATTCATGACTTTTCTATTTTTTTTATTTGAGCTCTCTTACTCTACAATGTTTTATTTTAGTATAAATATGTATTGCAAAGCTCCCTGCAGCCTTAAGGTAGTTTGAAAAAAAATTTGTAACTTCTTATACAACACTTCGCAATGTATTTAGTGATTATGAATTTGATTTGGATAATTCCCACGAAGCGGATGACTCAAGATGGTAGTATTCATTTGAAAAAGAGTTAAGAGCTACCCACTGATGAAATCCTTGAAGCGATGCCAAAGCTAATGAATATTTTTGGTGTTGTATATACATTTCTAGAGCTTAGATGAAAATTGCATGTTGTGGCATGTGCATGATGAGGTTATGAAAGTTGAGTTGTACAAGGTGAAAGATGATCATAGAGATGTGGGATGGAGATATCTACAACATAAGTTTGAGGAGGATAGTCGGCATTAAGTTCTGTTGTACTTGCTCAAGGGTCAGATTCATGAGATTAGACGTGACCAAGAAGGTGTGTTGAGGATATCACTCAAATATCATTGATCGGTGTAGATCACTGTATTATTTATCACACATGACATCGTATAGAGGATCATTTCTTGTTAGAGTCCTATAATAAGCTAACAAGAGTTGTTGTGTTAGGAGATAAGAAGGGGTTTTTTAATGCAATAGACTGGCAGTATATTTAGTAGGAGTTTGAGTACAACTTCAAATGTTGTCAAACTCAGACATAACTCCAAGCTCATCTATATATGATAATATAAAATATCTAATTGAATGTATTTGTTATGATATTTTTTGAAGTCTTTAGGTTTATTTTATATACTACTATTAAACCTGTTTATTATTGTTATTACTATTTGCTTTTAATATGCGTTGTAAAAGTTCTCCGATGGAGCTTCGTATCCCCATTCGTACGTTATTGTCACTAAGTTCATTTTATGTTACATTGGCTTTTAAGTAAGATTTTCTCAATAAAAATTAAAAACAAAATGTCCACTGCATAACATAACCATAATGAAATATATGATCCATGACAGTATTAACATCATTCGGAGTAACATCATCAAAAGTAAACATAAAAAAAAAACCTAACAGTATTAGGAGCTAACATCATCAAAAGCTAACATCATATATAACACAAACATAAGCTCAGTTAACGTTGCCTACGTGGCCTTTAGGGCAATGCATCATTGTTGGGAGTGAAATGTTGTAGTGGTCAGAGAGGCCTTTCACATAACACATGTTGCTCCTTGACAGCAATGTTAGGTTGAGATACATCAGGTGTTTGGTACAAAATCTAGGTTGAGGTATGCATAATGATCCCCACGCATCTGGTAACTAAGGATATCGTCATAAGCCCCTAATCAGAATATTAAGATGGATAAATAAATCCACTGTAAGGCTGAGGAGCATCCAGGCTAATGCTGAGTGTTGTAACATGTCCAGTTGTATCATCAAATTATTATTAATCCTCAATATGCATTGTCGGTGCAAGCCACGACAAAGCTCCTCTAAAGTCTTTATGTCCTAATGCTTCTACATATCCTCAGTGTCATTGAAGTGATGTTGCAAAGCGTATTCAGTACCAAGGAAGAAGTCCCTCTACAATAACAATATAACTTATTCAATAATTTTGCAATTAAGAGTCTAGGAGCTTCATGCTAGGTTTCATATTTACGTATCAGAAGGCGCACTGAGGGAGCTCTATGGTGTGACATGGTTGGAGGCTCAACAAGTGCCTTCAAGATATACAGTGTGACCCATGACTTGTACCATTGTAGGTGCTAATGCACAACATAGTCACTTCCCTCGCCAAGATGCTCCTCGATATCTACATATCTTCTCCTTCTCTATCCCATATAGAAATGTGGGTATGGTGGTACAACATCAAATCCATGTCTAGCTTCCCACGACCATCTATTTTTTTTAAAGTCAGGCTCCATATGTAGGACATCAGTAGTAGGACATAACCCGAATTGTCATAGAACTCGATCAGGCAAGTGTCACTCAGCCCTCTTCCAACTAATCACAGGCACTCCTGCACTCCATATATCTTCACCTGTCAGACATAAGTGTGTAACCTGAGCACGAATATCCTGTGTGTACAGCTCCCAAATGACATACGCATTAAAAATTCACTTTGTTTATTGAAAATAATGAAGCAAATAATGTAATATCAAAATTCAAACAATATATGTGTATCAAGTAAATCATCCAACTTATCCATATAGATAATAATGTTACCAACGAACAATTCTTGCACCTGATCCTCATTCCACATATTCCAAATAAATCTCAAATGATTGAAAAAATATGCATGTCATATTAGAAATAAAAGATACTTAACTTAACTTCATACCTGCACCCAACACTCATACCATGAAGTTGTACGGGAAAGGACACATGAAGTGCTGGTCGACCAATATGTAGGTGCTCGCAAGCCCAAATCTATAACAAGTGTATACACCCAACTATGTTGGTCATGCTAGGCCTTGTTTATTCACTCAACTTCATATATAAGTTGGCCAAGATCGCTCCCCCAAGAGAGTATGTACTAAATACCCTCAAATCCTCTATAATAGTCAAGTACTATAAATGTATCTCTGAACCTGATTACCCATGAGTATATGGAAATCCATGATAAACAAGATGTACACTTGAACATGCCTCCAAAAAGCTATCTCATTCAAGTCTAAGTATGAGGCACACCAAAAAGTTCAATGTAACCATCTGAGTGGGACGCATGTATGTGCTTGTGCCTAACCAATACAAAATCTAGACGTAATGTGGTGGTCGAAAGGGTCACGGTAGATTATATCGGGTTGTGGATGACTTCCTAATAGGTCATTGCAACAATCAGGTCAACTAAATCAATGTCTCCATGGTCCAACTACTGTGTGACCCACCAAAGCTGGATCATCTATATACATGCCCAATATCATAACCACATCTTGTAAAGTGATGGTCATCTCACCAACTATAAATGGAAAGTGTCATCTGCGGTGATCATCTCTCCACTAAAGTTGTCAATATATGGTCATTCATCCTTAAGTACCTCATCTGGCAAACACAATCTAAGCCAACCATTCTTAATGTATCCATAAATCTTGGATGGTTGACCTACCAGTTATGGACCATCAGAAGATGTGATGCCACTTCTAGAATTGTTTCCTACAAAGAGACCAATTTAGTAACCGTTAATTATAATGTTATAGTAAAAGATCATCCTTATAATCAAAACACTGCTTGCTAGATCCACTACTCATAGTCTTCTAATCGTAATGATCAAAAGGGATCGATTGTGTAGAAGGTACAGGAGATTCCTGCACCTGTTGTTTCTCTATATCACTACACTCAAAACATTCTTCTTGATTTACTAATCAATAAAAATTAATATATTTGATAATTAATAATATGCAATATATAAAACTCACTAGTCAATAAGCTCTTCTTATTATTTTAATCTTAAAGCACCAACAAGCACTCCAACCCTTTCACCTTGGGTTGAGATCTTCTTGTTCTAATCTTAAAGCATCAACAAGCACTCCAACCCTTTCACCTTGGGTCAAAGATTCATATATTTTTTTAATTTAGAGCCTCAATATTACCTCGCGTCAAACTTATCTCTTCAACTTCAATGTACTTGATGAGAAATTTAACAGTTGCTTGGCATAATAGAACTTCACAAACCTCGTCATCCTCAACATGTGAAGTGACAAACTCATTACCGACAGGCACTCGACAAATTAAGTTGACAAAAAACTTTGAAGGTTCGTACTTGATGGCTCTAAGAATCCTTAACTTAAGCTGCTCTAAGTTGATATTTCTTGGCACTTCCACGGGACAATTCCTACCCCCATAATAAGTTAGCGCAAAATTCACATCCAATTATAATTCACCCCTATACATTAGCATCAACGTTGCTCCTCGTCCACTCATTATTAAACTCGTATATTTCATTATGAAAGATCATCAAATCACATATCGTTAATATATGTTATTATTAATTTACACGATTATATTTCTACTTGGTATACAAAACTTAAAATTACAATACTGGCTATTATTATGAAAATAACTTTTCAAATTGCCAAAATAATTCTCTTAATATATTATAAAGGTTAACTGCTTAATATAATATATAATTTCAAAATATACATCATTTCACTGCTATAAAATATTTTTTTATTTAAAATTCATTTTGCTACTGGCAAAGTATTTTGAAAATAAATAATATTTCATAAGTACAAATTGGTCAAATCATAGAAATGGTGCTCAATACTACAATGAAATTAAATTTAATTTAGATTACTGCTACTAAATAAATAAGAAAATACATGACTACTTAGAAGATTGC